AAATCAAAGGGTGGGTGGTCTGAGACTCTATTAGCATGTGCCCAGTGGGACACTGTCACTTGGTTCAATCAAAGAACTAGCATTAGACACCGGTCATTTCTCAGGGACCCCCTCCATCTCCCTCACCGGGGAGCACAGCTTCCAAAGAACCCTCTCTTGGGCAAGTTCCATTCGCCCCCAAAGGGGGCTGATTCTACAGGACTGATATGAAGAGGACACACACACACACACACCACCACCACCACCATCACCCTGCCTGGACAGCCATGCTCTTTCCCTTACTCCTCTCTGGCAGGGAAGGTCCTTTGTGAACGCTTCTCCAAGACAGGTGACAGAGTGGCCAAAGGCTGGGTCCCCCCTGTCCACCCCCGACTGCCATGCACTTGGTGCTGATGTAATAGGCACTGCGTCGCCATGTCTGGCCCCTGCTCCCTTCACTGCAGGCCTGTCCCAGAGCCTGCCAGACCCTCACCCCTGTCCCAGTTAGCGCCAGGGCTGCCCCCATCTCGGCCCCAACTGGCTTCACAACTGACACTGTTGCCCGTTTCTAGGACCCAGAGGTGGAGCTAGATCACTCACCAGACCAATCCCCCAATCATTGTCAGCATGAAGGCAGGATGAGAAAGCCCAGGGGAGATTTCAGGCTCCTGGAACAGGAGGCATTTTTTCTTTTCTATTTTTTTTTAAGACAGCACGTTTCAGGAAAACCTCTCAAGCCGTCCTCTTCCATCTCCGGGCAAGCAGAGGTGTACAGCAGCCTGAAATCAGATGCACATGCGTCTGTGGCTGGGGGAATGCTCAGGCCACACGGGCAGCTGGGTGGTGGCAGGGCCCAGCGGGCAGGGCCACCTCCTGCTCTCAGGATGCCACGTCTGAGGAAGCTGGGCCCCTCTTCATGGGCTTCCCAGCCGAATCGAGTCCCCTTCACACCGGGTGCCTAGACACCAGCTCTCCCGAGGACCCGCATCAGACGTACACACGATCACGGCAGACTCTGCAAATGTGTCCCCCAGCAAAGGGCAGCAGAGCATCGGGAGTGTCCTCTGAAGCCAAACGTGTCCCTCTGCTGCTGGGCAGAGTCCACCTCACAGGGGCCCGATAGGACAGAGAACTGCTCCATAGTTTCCAAGGATGTACATCTGTACGGAAGCAGACTGCCTCATTTTTCTCCGGCAGAGCAGCTGATGGGTTTGAACTGCTTACCTTCTGGTGAGCAAACCTACACTGAGCCACAGGGCCACTAGGCCTTCTTCATTTTAAGCAGCAGCATCAAAATATACAGCAAACCAGGGCAAAATCACAGCTGATGCAGCACAGCAGTTATACATTGCGCTGCTAACTCCGAGGTCAGCAGTTTGAACCCGCCAGCAGCTTCACTGGAAAAAGATCAGGCTGCCTACTCCCATAGACATTTAAAGTCTCCCAAACCCAAGGGGAAGTTCGACCCTGCCCTCCAGGGTGGCTATGAGTCAGAATTGACAAGAGGGAGGTGGAAGACATCGTTTTGGCTGACCACTTCCAGAGCTCTCCTGAATGAGATATAAAGCAGCCCGTGACGCTGAAGGGCCCGCGGGCCCTGTTGGGGATGTGACATCGAGCCATACACCTCCCGCTGGCCTTGCTCTCGCTGCCTCTGGGCTGTGGTCCAGTCAACAGGGGACATGGGGGAGACTTGAGGGGCGAGGGCAGAGGAGTCCCTGCGGGCCAGGGCCCCTTCTCCAAGGTCTAGAGCAGCTCCCTCCCCAACTTGGAGGCGTCACTACTTCCTGTGGGTTTCCAACAGCCTCTCTCTTGGACAGTGCCCTTCCTGGACGACCCACGCTGAAACAGCACACTGTTGCCCAATTAGTGCTCATGCCAACCAGGCTTTTATAAAATGCCCAAGATTTATTATGCCCTTGGACCACAGAAACCTGGAAAGCCCCTGCCTTGACCGAGCTCGTGGACCCCAAGCCCACATTTCTGGAATGGAGGCTTCCTAGAAAGCCTGTCTTACTGGGATGTCCAGGCAGGTGGGAGTGTGGCGTCCCCTCCACTTCAGCATGCGGAGGGGGATCTGCGCAGACTTGGGCCTGGGGACCCAACCCAGGGCAGGGGCCGTGAGAACTTATTCACCTCTTGAGGTCAGATGAGAGGAGCAAGGCTGGGGGCACGCGCACTGGCTTTGTAACTGCCTGGCGGTCGGCCAGGCCTGGGAGCACCTTCAAGATGCGCTGAAATCCAGCAGGCACCACTGCTGGTGGGTGTTAGCCTCAGCTACCAACAGGGCGCTGCCTCTTGGTGACAGTGGACCAGTGTTGTCACGATCCTCTTCAATGTCTCAGGGTGTCCGAAGAGGTGGCGTGTCACAAGACAGTGCACGCGGTGTGCTCTTGGCTTGTCCCGTCCCCTGGGGCAGAGATGAGGCCTGGGTGAGTTCATCTCTCTGTACCCAGGGGACCTCCAGCCCTTCTTTCCTCTCCCCCAGGCTCTCCCAGCACATCCTCCCACCTCCTGGCGGCTCCCTGACATCCGGGCCGCACGCTCCTAGATGAGGTGCACCAGCAGGGTGGAGCAGGTGGAGCCGAGCAGCAGGCCCACGCTCAGGTAAAAGGCCATCACCACGCCTGTGGCCTCGGCCAGCTCCCTGGGCACGATCTTGGGCCCGTACATGAGCGCCAGGGTGCCGAGGTAGCCGTTGCTGAGTCCCAGCAGGGCCGTGAAGAGTATGGGGTAGATGTCGGACGTGAAGACCACCGGCTTCAGGTGCACACGCGGCTGGTAGTTGCAGAGCATGAAGAGCGGGGTGAGGCAGGTGCGGAGGAGCACGAGTCCCGGGAGCAGCTTACTTTTGGGCCCCGGCACCTGGATCCAGGCTGTGACCTGCCGGCCACACAGGTCGGCAAAGTTGTACAGGAGGAAGGTGGTGAGGGGGACGAAGAACTTGGTGGTCCACAGGGAGCCCGAGTCCTGGTTGACGGACTGGATGTTGGTGGAGAGGGCAGGGAAAATGAGGCTGGTGATGAAGAAGAGATAGACGATGCAGAAGCCGAGGCCAGCGGTCGTCTTCAGGATGGGGCGGAGCGGGGGCGTATGGGCGCAACTGGATTCGCTGGGGGAGACCTGGGGCTGCCCTACTTCACCAGAAAATGCCCTGGCTGGCCGAACAGGCCTCATGTAGTACCTGCAGGAAGGAGAGCGGGACACGGTCAGAGGGCCAGCAGAGAGTGGGCTCGCTTAGGTTGCCCAGCAAACACGTTGTTTGAAAGAAAGAGTGAGCTGTCAGATGCTCCCCCTCCCCCACACCCAACAGCATCAGTCTTTTCCACGTCTGCCCTTCTGCCCAGGGCCACAGGTCACTTTGCATGGCCGAAAGGCCTTGCCGTAGTCACTTGACTCCCCTGGGCCATAGGTGTCTTAGAAAGCTGGCAGCTTCAGGCTGGCGGAATTAACACACAGTAGCTCCCACAGAAGTGCTTGTTGAGAGCCCTGCTCTGGGCCCTGTGTGACCCTGGGCTAGGTTCTCCCCTTTCTGGGCCTGTGTCCTCCTCTGTACAATGGGGCTGTGAGCTTTTACATTATGGAGGAGGCTAACGGGAAGTCCCTGCCAGCCCTCCCACCCAGAGAGCCGGCAGATAACAAACGAGTCAGCGGGTGGGTGGGCAGGCAGGACCCTCCCTTCCCCTGGAATGACTGGGCAGCGTGCTTCTGCTTGGCCCTGGTCTTGTTTCATAATGGTTCTCTAGGGAGAGGAACCTCTGGCTTCCGCTCTGCTCAGAATACTTGATGCTGCTTCAAGAAAGCTCCCCACCAACTTCCTCTGGCTGAAGCTCTTCCTCAGAGGTTCTCCCAAACCTCCCTGCTTCATCTCGCCCATGGGTGACTCGTCTGATGGCCATCTGGCGTTGCGTAAGGCCCAGTGCTTCCAGGGCCAGAACCGGCGGCGCCGCTGAGCCCCGGTGAGGGCAGTGCCTGTGGCCTCTCCTGGAGTGGGAATCGGCCTGTGTGGGCACGCTCTCTCTGCCGTCGGCACCACAGTCTTGACCGGCAGAGAAACGCAAACTGCCACGGGCTGGTGTGCATACCAGGGTGGCCTGGGGGTGTCCTGCCCAGGTGAGACTGGGAATTAGTCCCCCAGTTTGCTTGAGATGGTCCCAGTTTTAGTACAGAAAGTCCCTTGTCCTGGGAACCCACTCCGTCCCGGGCAGATGAGGATGACTGGCCACCCCAATCCTCTGAAGTGGGGATACAACGCGAATGTCCCCAAGCAGCAAGGCAGAGGGGACACGGACTGGCTTA